ATTTCCTGAATTTGGCCTGGTATGAGCCTCTTTCAGCCTCCAGTACAGCTCTGACTGGAAGAATAAAAAGCAGCACAAGAAGCCAATGATATGTGCTGCAGTTGAAAGAGCACAGAGCTTCTTCTTTCAATATCCAGTTATATGGGGAGGGGGAGGACAAGACATGTAAGGCTGGATTCACACTTAACCATTCCAGTGTGTTACATTAATACATGCACTTAATGTTGCATATAATGCACCAAGCCAGACAAAAAATTTGGACATGCACCATGTTTTCCCATGTAGCGCACCACAGCACATGGTAAAGCATTAGCAGCGATCTGCTGACCGCGGGTGCAATGCTTTACAGACTGCATTGTAAAAAAATAAAAACTGCTAATTTTTACCTGCACAAAAGATGTGCATTTATTATTATTTATTTATTTTTTTATAAAAGGGGAATTTATCCTTTATTACATAAAGATCAAGTAGTCTTTATACCATTTCGATGAGCAGGCGAGTCATAGATTTAATAGATGTAGTGAATAGGGAAATACAGGACACATTACTTTTGAGTCTCGATGCCGAAAAGGCTTTTGACAGGCTGAATTAGCCTCTTTGCCACCTTTGAACATATTGGCCATAAAGGCCCTTTCCTTCAAGCCACCAAAGCACTTTATGCCCATCCCTCCACCAAGATCAAAACTCCCTAGGCCACTTTTCAACCTTTTTTCCTAGTTAATGGAAAGATCCAAATATACATGACATTTCAATCAATAAAGAATGGATAATTTAAAGGATAAGTTCACCTTTGGGAACATGTCACATGTTCCACCTGTTTTTATGGAGGAACATGTAACATATTCCTGTTCCTGCAGCCACTGTCACAATTTTAAAAGAGCACAGCCGTGCAGGTCATTCATTTACATTTCATTTGTAGGGATCCACTCACTGTTCTGTGAGTGGATCCCTACAAGTACCGTCAACCTTTGTGGCTGACAGCTTATAGTTATCAATTAACTGCAAGGGCTCTAGTCAACGCTCTTGTAGTCCATTGCACTTCCTTTACTAAATTGTCAACTTATGAGGAAAGACTGGCAATAATTATCATTATGATTATTAGTGTTATTGTGGAAATAATAGCTCTAATAGAGTAACTGTCTGACCTTATTGGAGGTATGGGCAGACAGCTACACTGATAGCCTACAGGTGTCTGACCGATTTGTTGATAGCGAATGCAATGCTTTCCAGGCTCCTAATAAAAAAAAATAGTAAATGCACCTTTTTTTACTTGCATAAAATGTGTATTTTTTTTTTTAAAGGTGAACTTATCCTTTAAAATATTGCTTTTTACAAACTTCCCACCCTAATTCCAACTTGTGTCTTCCTAACTCGCAAAGGCCCTGGATAATTATAGATTCCTGTCATGATATAAAACAATTCTCATGATCCAGAACTTCACCAGCTGCTTCTCGTATACATGGCAGACATCCACAATAAAATATCTGGCAGAAAAAATTACCCCCATATATAACACATTATACAGGGAAAACTTTATTCCTCTCTTTCGTGATATTAGAACAGAAGCATTGATTTCCCTTCTTTGGTTGCATAGCTGCTATTAATATGAATATCCTCCCAAAGCTCCTCCTTGAGATACTACCACTGAACTACACCTGGGACTACTAAATACGTAACGGTTGATTTACTAAAGGCAAATACAATAGACTGTGCACTTGCAAGTGCAGTTGCACTCGTTTTCCCCAGAACTTAGTGATGTGGTGAAGCTTCACTCTGTAAAGAATATCCAGTCAGGTACATCGAAAAGAGCATTTTTACTTTCGCATGATTGGATGATGGAAATCAGCAAACCTTTACCACATACACAAAGCTCTAAGGAAAAGTAATGCAACTGCACTTGAAAAGTGCACAGTCTGTTTGCCTTTATTAAATAAACCCCATTTGAGTCTCTAAAGCCCTGTACACATGGTGAGAATATCGGACAAATGTTTGTCCTTTTTTTATTTTGTATGCTAGTCTCATATCAAAAGTGAAGAGGTTACTATAGTTTCGAACATATTCTTGTACAACAGAATAAAAATTTGAAAGTCATGTTATGTATTGTATTGTATCTGTATTATATTTTCGGACAAAAACTGTACTTATTAGACAAAAAATGATCTGGTAACATATGAGAAACATTTCCGAGCTTGCCCCTTCTAAAGTGAAGTTTTTCATACGATTTTCTGATCGTGTGTACTAGGCTTAAGTCAGTTCTGTTTGCCTCTCAGAATGAAGATGGCCTGGCATTTTCAAATTTGATCAAATATTACCAAGTACCCCACTTGCGAGCTGTACTTTTATGGTCTATCCTATATGCCTTTAATCAATGGAGTGACGTAGAAAAGCTATGGATGGTGCCTATACACCCTAATTCCCTGCTGCAGAATAGAAATTCAACTGTAGAACCACATAGGCTTTTCCACACTATGTCTTTCCTCTGTCATTTCTGGAAAACCATAAGCCTCTGATTTCAGAGGCGTCCTTATTGACAGCTATTCTGTTCAGTCTTAAAATACTGAACAGCCTGACCTTATCTATGACCTCTCCCTGGATGTCGAAGATTTTTTTTTAAAATTTGGGCACATAGTAGATGTTAGGACTAGGAAGCTACTCTCCTTTGCAGAACTCCACAATAAATTTAATTTACCAAATAATTCATTGTATGGATATTTATGCCCAATCCACATCCTCCTTGTAATTCTTCAAATTAGCATCATTTGAAAGAACCGTCCTCATAGGCCTTTTGCAAAAGGGATCAGTATCTGACATCAACAAAATAGTGAATACACTCTCTTTGCAAATCACAGAGAAACATTATTACATGTATAAAGGGGAGCAAATTCTGTATAATAATAATAAATTCTAGGAGGAGATGTCCCTAGAGAGGTGGCAAGTAATTTGGTCCCAGGTGTCAGAAAGTTTGCTTTGTACACTCTATAAAGAAAACCCATATAAGATACCCTTTCACTAGTACCAAACTCTAGAGATTCTCCATTCTATCCTCCCCACAGTCAGTGATCACTGTTATAGATGTAAAAGAGAAAAACTTACTGAGAATCAATCTATGCTCTTATTCACTGCATCCTCGTTTAACGTATTCCCTTTACTCCTAAAATGTTCCTGATGGATTTGCTTCCACGGGCCTTCTCCAAAAATGCCAAGAACCTACTACCACACATACTCAGTGCCAGGGGCGGACTGACAACTCATGGGGCCCCGGGCAATAGGGGATCATGGGGCCCCTGTGTCCTTGCCAAACTCAAAAAAGCCTATGAAAAAGGTACCAGGGGCATCTCATGCGGCCCCCTACTGACCTCGGGCCCTCGATCAGTGCCCGATCAGTCCGCCCCTGCTCAGTGCAGCCAAATGTCTGGAGCCATCCAGATGGAAAAAGAGATACTCCATCCCTTCTAACACTACGTACTAGAATTAGTGATGTTAAGCTGATAGAGAACCTTGTGGCACAATTACATGATATTCCTGAGCAATTGTTAGGAATGGACTGGCCAGCAATGGGGGGACTCACCTGCCTTTTGATCTGCAGTACCAGGGCTGGCCAGCGGGTGCTCCCAGCAATCAGAGACTCAACCTTTCAGCCAGCTAACACCTGGAACTGATGATGCTGGGGTATTTAAGGGATGGCCAGACTTGCAGACTCTGCCTTGGTGTTGTGTTTGTCCTGGGCCCTGTATCTGTTCCTTTGCTGACTTCTGCTCTGATCCTGGCTTGTGACCCTGACCATTCCTCTGTCTGACCCTCTGTACTATGCTGCTTGCTACCTGCTGAACCTGGCCTGTGACCCCGACTATTCTCCGCTTGCTCCCCCTGTACCTACCTGCCCAATTGATATTGACCCGGCCTGCCTGACGACGCTTGCTTGTATATACTGTTATCTGTGGGTGGTTTGGTTTGGTTTGTTTGCACTGTATTATGTTTTAGTATTGCACTGCGTTTATGTTTGTACTGTTAGTGTTAATAAATTATATTTTTTATAACATATCTGAGGTCTGCGTTTCCCTGCTTCAGTCACACACCTCTGGTCATACCTGGGAGCCCTGACATTACACCAAGGCCAATCCTGACCAGAAGTGGCTGCACAGGGAAGCCATCTTGGCTTGTTGATGGGAAGGATGGATCTAGATGAGGTTGAGTATTTATCTCTGCTAGTGCTTGATGACAGAGAGTATGCTTATCAGACTCTGAAGGAGTATAAATGCTAGAATGTATACGGCTCGCTCATGTTCTAGTAGATCAGGGCACAGTTTTCTCTATGGTGCAGCCATTGATTCAGGTTTGTGTGTTGAGTTGGTTTCATCTGGTTTCCCCGAATGCAGGGATGAATTTTTGCCACCATTTAGTGCAGACCAGGTAGAGTCCCTGGTGTGGTTATTAGAGGATGATGTGGGTTACTTTCTGGAGCGTTATTCCACATGTTCACCACAGAACACTGAGAGATTGTATAAACGCAGTGCAGTCATTGACCAGACAGCTTTGTGTAAACTCAGCTTTGTTCAACCCCTACTGCAGACATGGACAGATTTGTTGCACCCAGCCTCAGTCAGCTTACAAAGACCCAGTCCTGCTTCTAACTCTACTCCTGTATTCCCACCAGCTCCTCCAGTTACAGCCCAGTATACTTGGCTATCTACCGCATGTCAGTACCCTGTTCCCACTCGCTGCACCTATCCTGCCTTTAACCCTGTAAAGAAGCCCTCTGTAGCAACTGCTCCCTCTCCTGTTCCATCCTCCAGTTCTTCTCTGTCTCCAGCTGCTCCATTCGTTTGCAGACCTGCGTTTACTTGCAGTGCTCCAGTAGTTAAAACCAGAAAAAAGCGAAAATTCTTTCCAACCAATACCATCCTGCCAGTATCCAAACCGGTGAGCCTGCCTTCCGTGGTTCAGACTGTGCCTGTACGCAAGCCTCTACTCGTGAAGCCTCTACGCGGCCTGAAGCCTCTCCTCGGCCTGATGCCTGTACTCGGCCTGATGCCTGTACTCGCCTGATGCCTGTACTCGGCCTGAAGCCTCTACGCGGCCTGAAGCCTCTATGCGGCCTGAAGCCTCTCCTCAGCCTGAAGCCTCTACGCGGCCTGATGCCTGTACTCGGCCTGATGCTGTACTCGGCCTGATGCCTCTACTCGGCCTGAAGCCTCTACTCGGCCTGATGCCTCTACTCGGCCTGATGCCTGCATTCAGCCTGATGCCGCTACTCAGCAGGATGAACTGATCCAGCCCGACGATTATTAGGCCAGTTGACTCGATGCCCGCTGTTGATCCAGACAATCCGGACCTGATGCCCCGGTGCTCAATGTCGTGCCTGTTGACTCGGAGCCCACTGCCTTGCCAGATGACGCGGTGCCCGCTGTCGAGCCAAATGACCTGATGCCTGGTGACCCAGTGCCCGCTGTCCAGTCAGACGATCCAATGTCTGACCCAGTGCCCGCGGTCATACCAGTTGACTCGGAGCCCACTGCCTTGCCAGATGACGCGGTGCCCGCTGACAAGCCAAATGACCTGATGCCTGGTGACCCAGTGCCCGCTGTCATACCTGGTGACCCGATGCCCGCTGTCGAGCCAGACAATCCGGTACCTGATGCCCCGGTTCTCACTGTCGTGCCTGTTGACTCGGAGCCCACTGCCTTGCCAGATGACGCGGTGCCCGCTGTCGAGCCAAATGACCTGATGCCTGGTGACCCAGTGCCCGCTGTCCAGTCAGACGATCCAATGTCTGACCCAGTGCCCGCGGTCATACCAGTTGACTCGGAGCCCACTGCCTTGCCAGATGACGCGGTGCCCGCTGTCGAGCCAAATGACCTGATGCCTGGTGACCCGATGCCCGCTGTCCAGCCAGACGATCCAATGTCTGACCCAGTGCCAGCGGTCATCCCAGTTGACTCGGAGCCCACTGTTGTGCCTGGTGAATCGGTGCCCGCCGCCCCGCCTGGGGGCCCGAGACCTGTCGTTCCGCCTAAGGGCCCGAGACCTGTCGCTCCGCCTGGGGGTCCGGCACCTGCCACTCCGCTTGAGGGCCCGAGACCTGTCGCTCCATCTGGGGGTCCGGCGCGCCCGCCACTCCGCTTGAGGGCCCGAGACCTGTCGCTCCATCTGGGGGGTCCGGCGCCCGCCGCTCCGCCTGAGGGCCCGAGACCTGTCGCTCCACCTGGGGGTCCGGCGCTCGCCGCTCCGCCTGAGGGCCCGAGACCTGTCGCTCCACTGGGGGTCCGGCGCCCGCCGCTCCGCCTGAGGGCCCGAGACCTGTCGCTCCTCCTGGGGGTCCGGCGCCTGCCGCTCCGCCTGAGGGCCCGAGACCTGTCGCTCCACCTGGGGGTCCGGCGCCCGCCGCTCCGCCTGAGGGCCTGAGACCTATCGCTCCATCTGGGGGTCCGGCGCCCGCCGCTCCGCCTGAGGGCCCGAAACCTGTCGCTCCGCCTGGGGGTCCGGCGCCCCGCCGCTCCGCCTGGGGGCCCGAGACCTGTTGCTCCGCCTGGGGGTCCGGCGCCCGCCGCTCCGCCTGAGGGCCCGAGACCTGTCGCTCCAGCTGGGGGTCCGGCGCCCGCCGCTCCGCCTGAGGGCCCGAGACCTATCGCTCCATCTGGGGTCCGGCGCCCGCCGCTCCGCCTGAGGGCCCGAGACCTGTCGCTCCGCCTGGGGGTCCGGCGCCCGCCGCTCCGCCTGGGGGCCGATGCCTGTCGCCCCGCCTGGGGGCCCGATGCCTGTCGCCCCGCCTGGGGGCCCGGTGCCTGTCGCCCCGCCTGGGGGCCCGGTGCCTGCTGCTGCTCCGCCCGGGGGCCCGGTGCCTGCTGCCCCGCCCGGGGGCCCGGTGCCTGCTGCCCCGCCCGGGGGCTCGGTGCCTGCTGCCCCGCCCGGGGGCCCGGTGCCTGCTGCCCCGCCCGGGGGCCCGGTGCCTGCTGCCCCGCCCGGGGGCCCGGTGCCTGCTGCTCCGTCTGGGGGCCCGGTGCCTGCTGCCCCGCCCGGGGGCCCGGTGCCTGCCGCCCCGCCCGGGGGGCCGGTGCCTGCCGCCCCGCCCGGGGGCCCGGTGCCTGCCGCCCCGCCCGGGGGCCCGGTGCCTGCCGCTCCGCCTGGTGGCCCGCTGCCTGCTGCTTCGCCTGGTAATGCCTCTGCCCGGAGTCCTGCCCGATGTACCTCTGCCCGGAATCCTGCCCGATGTGCCTCTGCCCGGAGTCCTGCCCGATGTGCCTCTGCCTGGAGTCCTGCCCGATGTGCCTCTGCCCGGTGTGCCTCTGCCCGGAGTCCTGCCCGATGTGCCTCTGCCGGAGTCCTGCCCGATGTGCCTCTGCCCGGTGTGCCTCTGCTCGATGTGCCTCTGCTCGGAGTCCAGCCCGGTGTGCCGCTGCCCGGAGTCCTGCCCGGTGTGCCAGTCTTTGATATCTTGCCAGACCCGGGCGGTGGAACATTTTGCCCAGCTAGGACTGTTTGGAGCGTCTGAGGCCGCTCCTTGAGGGGGGGGTACTGTTAGGAATGGACTGGCCAGCAATGGTGGGACTCACCTGCCTTTTGATCTGCAGTACCAGGGCTGGCCAGCGGGTGCTCCCAGCAATCAGAGACTCAACCTTTCAGCCAGCTAACACCTGGAACTGATGATGCTGGGGTATTTAAGGGATGGCCAGACTTGCAGACTCTGCCTTGGTGTTGTGTTTGTCCTGGGCCCTGTATCTGTTCCTTTGCTGACTTCTGCTCTGATCCTGGCTTGTGACCCTGACCATTCCTCTGTCTGACCCTCTGTACTATGCTGCTTGCTACCTGCTGAACCTGGCCTGTGACCCCGACTATTCTCCGCTTGCTCCCAACTGTACCTACCTGCCCAATTGATATTGACCCGGCCTTGCCTGACGACGCTTGCTTGTATATACTGTTATCTGTGGGTGGTTTGGTTTGGTTTGTTTGCACTGTATTATGTTTTAGTATTGCACTGCGTTTATGTTTGTACTGTTAGTGTTAATAAATTATATTGTTTATAACATATCTGAGGTCTGCGTTTCCCTGCTTTAGTCACACACCTCTGGTCATACCTGGGAGCCCTGACAGCAATAAAATAAAGTTTGGGGATTATGCCATTATAGGGAGGGCCTGCTTTAGCATGGGTTTCCATACCTAGACCTAGCTTGCTAGGATATTTGAGCTGAGCACCTGGATCATAAAGTGGAGGGATCTGCAATCTTCTCACTATCTTTTTCTTTTTTTTTTCACTTCCCTACCTTTTCTATTTTTTTTTGTTTTGTGTTTTTTTTCATTTAACATAAATGGCATAGTACAGGCTTGTAATAAAGTTATATCTGACATAATTGTCTCAGGCTTTAAGAGGCTGAGGATGCTCTCTACCCACCTCAGCTAGCTTGCTCTCTTTGGCTGACACCGTATTGCTATAGTACATTATTTGTGTGACAGCAATGAGAACTGAATCACACAAGGGTGTACATGACTGTGCTATTTTTACTTTGGGTATTCCATACTTACATTTTTTATATTGTCTGATTTCTTGTTCATGTACAGCCTGAAAGACATCAGAGATTACCATGTTGCTTTGTCGCTATTGTCATTTCTGGTCACAAATGCCTTAACCCCTCCGTGTATTACAAAACATTGTGCATGCTCTTATTTAATGTGAAATTAATAAGTATGTGTATTTATCATAAAAAAAAGAATATTAGAACTTTTTTCTCTTCCCCTCATTTTATCTAGCTTTTTCATGCATTGTTAAGGAAGAATTTCAGCATTAATATGACTTGAAACTGTTTGTTTGGGCCAAGCTTGCCCATAGGAACTATTTCTTTTACATAGCTATACAGCCACCGTGTGTCTTCATAATATACTAGCAGTAGCTACATACAGTAAGCAGTGCTGTGTTAAAGCGCAGTATGGATTACTTCTTCTGCCGCAACTAAATGGAGTTGGCCTGAATGCATCAATGACACAAATTTTTATCAATGAATACATGACTTGCTCTGAGAGAGATCTCTAGAGAGACTGAAGATATGCCTGTTTAATTAAAAGTAGTCCTAACAGCATGCTTGGATACATATAGGAGACTCCCACGTACATTTTATGCATGGGCATACTGTACATATCAAATGTGAAATTCAACTATTAAAGAGTGGCTGCATTCTAAGGCACTTGAGGATTTTTTTTTTTTCTTATTTTGGATCTCTGTATGTTCTCATATTAATACATGCTATGTATAGAGAACAATTGACTTACTGTATATATAACCGGCGTGGATCGCCCGAGGGAAAAGAGCTCCCTCGCGAAACGCGCCAATCCTAGACACCAGATACCACACATTGGTTATATACATAAGATCATTTAATAAGCTGCTTATTGCTTTTATGTATTTTAAATTAGGATTAAAACATTTATTTTATTTGTGTGATTTCTCAATGGCACATATAAAGTTACACTCACCTATTTCTGTCCTTTGTGGGCAGTAAAAGGATTCTTCAATGTTCATTGCAATTAGGGGTGGTGTCCACTGAAAAATTAAATTGTATGGACAGGGCACCTCGACACAATCATGCATAAGTAAAGAAAATTATTAATTTGGGCTAGCTTGGCCCAGACAAACTAAAGTAAAAGTGGAATTCTACTTTAAAACTGGAAAAACTGTTGTAGGCATATGTATTAAGTTAACATTTTAACTGATTAGGTTCAAACTATTAGATAGTATCAGTGAATAGGTATTATACTAAGTTTAAATATGATCAAGTGGTAGGTTGATCTGCTAATTTATTAATATTGAAGTGTTTTTCTATCTGGCATGTTTTGCATTGAAAATTAACAACTGAAATGACACCTTATTGTCCATTTTAACTTTTAATGCCATCTACTGATAAGAATATTTTTCAATAGCCACTGGCATTCCAAGTGGACATAATGTAATAAAGAATATATGCGGATGACCTTTTAAGTACATACCTGTAGGTTTACCTTTTTAGATAATATTACTTTTCCAAATAGGCTGGCTGTAAACCTGATAGAGTGGTCAGAACAACATTCACAACAATTTAGATAGTGGGATCAGTAAGAGAGTCCATGCTCAGTAGAGCATTCCTAGTCATGCGAGCCATTCATGCGAGGAGGAAATGGTTGCCTGATTCTGCCTGATGGATGTTTCCCTGACCAAACAAGGTCGGGAGCTCCATATTAACATATGCTTGTTACCCAGTTGAAACTGGCTAGATCAGCCAACTCTCATCCTATGCTCATGGGTATTAAGTGATAACTAAGCGATGCAAATTGTCTTTTAAGGTTTTGTCTGATATACATACTTTTTCCCTACTTATAGGTGCCCGGATATGTCTTGGGGAGCAGCTTGCCCGCTATGAGCTATTTATCTTCTTCACCACTCTCATGCGATCATTCAGATTTCACCTCCCAGAAGGTGTAACCGAAGTCAACACAAAATACATCTACAAACTTACCCTACAGCCTCACCCTTATCAGATCTGTGCTGTTCCTTGTTAACTTGCAGCACCTGCTATTGTCTATCTATATTGGTTACCCGATATTAAGATCAATTTACAATCCTATTTTAAGTTTATGTAGTTGTTTTAATGTGATTAAAATTTATGTTACTATGTAAATATACTATTCTGCTGAAGAATATAATTGTTGCCAATAATTTTCCTTGTAAATGCAAGGTAGAATAAGTGCAGTCAGAGCAATTCCTGTATTATAACAGTATTGTGTACTTCAGTACTATTTTACTGGAGTGTTTCCAAACCCTGCC